GCAGTTACGTAGCTAGAAATACACAGAATGACAGCTGACAAGTGTCAAACGGTATTTCATTAATTTCTGCAAAACCAAATTCCCCTTTTCCTGTCTTAATTCTATTAGGGTTGACGTAGGTTAGAACTAAAATACTTTACCATCAGCGGCCTTCATGAACCATTATGCCAAAGCAGCTTGAATGCGCTGTAACAGCTTTTAAAAATCAGTTGCAGTTCATACTTTACACTAATTAGCTGGAAATGTATTCGTGCACATGCTCTCTTGCGGGGTTTTTTTTGTTTTAGTGAATTCTGGGGATACGAAAGCTACTGGAGAAGTCAAGCAGCGTGCAGTCAAACTTTGTGTAAGCGGTCCCACAGAGGTGTTGCAGTGCAGACTGTGGACACACGCCCAACACCCCTGTTCATTTATTTCGTTTGTTTGCTGCAGAGGGTGTTCAAAAAGAAAGGGTGACTAATCTTACTTTAACGATTGTTTACCGCCACTGAAAAAATTAAACATTAAAAAAGGTTTTTTTTCTTTTTACTTTCAGGAATTTGTGGAGTATCCCTTCGACGTAGGGATTTTACGAAAAGTTTGGAAGGAGCAGTAGCGACCATGTTCTTTTTAAAATAAACTATTTTAAAAAATAAAAATAAATCGATGCTCTCCCTCACCTGTGTCGATCTAACCTAACCTCCAACTTCCTTAACTTGTCTCTCTGTAGTTGGGCATCCTAACTTCCTCTGGGTGCATCGACCAGTCATTATCACCATTCCTAAATGAATCTTCCTGTCGGGTGTCCTTGTTAACCGGCTCGTGAGCAAGGAGTAATATAGATCAGCACGTGTCCTGTAACCAGATAATCTAGCTAGGTAGTAGATAACCCAGCTATTTGTTCCTAAAGCAGACCAACTAGGATTGAATTTTCCTGGTACCAGGACGGTATTTTAAATGCAAAGTTGGTTTTCTTTCTGTTGGTGAGCAAAAATATAAATACTTCAGATAAAAAGGCACTAATTCCAAGCAGAGAAAGGGGTTGTGAGAGAAAAGGAAACTGAGGCCACTACCCGTACAATTGTTTTGTTTTTTTTTTACACGTGTAAGTGAATTTTCCCCTAAGTGTCTTCAACCCTTCGACCCTGTTCCTCTCAGAATTTCATACTCTCCGCCTGCAGTAGCCTTTGGAGGAATTTCCAGTTTAGTGATCCTGTGAAAACCCAGCCGTGGAGCGAGCTCGTCGCCATCGAGGAGGCAGGCGTCTCGGGCTCACTCTCCAGGTCACTGCCAATTCCTGCCTCTCCTGTGGGCATTGTCATTACGGCATGTTCGTATGCAGAGGGTGTAAAAACAACTGGTCGGGGCGCTAAATGTTGAAAGTGAACCGTGGCGAGACGCGGAGTGTCTGAGACCCTTTTTTCCAAGGGTGAATCTTCGCCCCTGTGCACACTGCAATCTACAACAGAACCCTGAAAAGCGCAACAAATCCTCTGTCTTTACTAATTAATTCAACAAAAGGAAAATGTGAGGAATTCTCACCAGAATAAACTGCGATCGCATTCCCTTTGAGGTCTGCAGTATCCTGAAAATGAGAAAACTGGATTATTTCTGAATAATAGATATTTTGCCCGAAAAAGAGAAAAGCTCTGTATATTGAATTGGATTGGTTTAATGAAAGAAATGCTTCACGCATTCATCCAAAATCATCAGTTTGAATTTTACTTAAATTTTTCTGTCTTATTATTCATTGATCATTTAAATAGTATCATCAAAATCTGTTGGGAATATTCTACATGCTGTTCAATAAACTCAGTGAGAGAAGGAGCACTCGTTTTCACTTTAAGTAACTTGACAAATACCCTTTTTATATTGCTTTAGATTAGGGCTCACACAAGATACAGCTGATTTTTTTGTCGTAGCTATTTGATTAAATATGAAATAGCTTTTATGTTTCCATTAATTAAATATCAATTACATGGAAAACAGATGGAAAACACCATCTCTTTCTGAAAGTGTAAAAATATGAATTGGCTAGGTGTCTCGATTGTCCTATTCATTGATGACTTCCCAAAGCGCTGCACACATCTGTTGACCACTGAAGTGTCTTTTACTGACGTGTTAGATACGGAATTTTAAAAATGGACAAATCTTCATAGCAGAAGGGAGCACAGCAAGGACAGTTTCTTCCCTTAGGATTTGCATTGTCTGAACCTCAGAATTGGCAATGCTAACAGCTCTGTTAATTGTCACGTTGCTGTTTAAAACAAACTAGAAAGGAGCCCCTTTTCTGCAAAGGTTGTTTTAGCACAAGAGGGGAAGTCCCAACTCAACTTAACAGTTTTATACCAAAAAGAGAAAATGAAACCATATCTCAGTCTTGCACTGATTACTGAAACTTTCTAAACTACCTGAAAAAGGTTAGGACCACAAGTACAACTGGATATTGGGCTGTTAAACCATCTGTTAAAGATCTGCAGGAACACAGTACAATATGATGGGATGATGATAAAACACAATGAAGGTCTGAGGCAGTAAATGATAGAAGTACAGATACAGAACACAACAAGTAACCGAAACACTGAGTAAAGTAATGAGAGAAATAAAACTCTTGGAGGAGGGACAAATAGAGTGTGAATGTCTGGCAGGAAGCAAAGCAAAGTGCAGTGTAAGCATAATAAAACTAAATAACAGCAACCACAAAACGTTGTGGAGCATGGTTAAGTGAAATCCAGGCAAAGAGCTGTGGATGCCAGTGTGTGGACTGTCCAGAGCAGAGACAGCCTGGACAAGGAGATTGAATGCAGACCTGACCTGGCTTGTACAAATGAGAACCAAATTAGGTACAGAACATTGTCCAACCCCTCTCCCCCAAAAACACACACACACACACTTGTACCGATGTTGAAGATTGTTAGAGGAGGAAAGACTCTGCACAGGCGGTCTCTGAAAGCTTTTGACAACGAAATAACACATGAGTCATTAGTTTCAGAACTCTGGAAGTGCTTTAACAATAAACCACAGTTAGTTTTTCCTCACTTTTATCGACCACTTACACGCACCCAGTCTGACAGAACTTAATTCCACACTGAAAATTTGAAAGAAGAAAAAGACGTTTTGGCTGTGGAGTCTTCTTCAGGTGCCTTATTCAAAAGAAGCTTGTGTTTTTAATCTTCCCTTTATACTTTTTAGCGAGGAATTAACCTCGACTTGTTCCTTGTTAACTTACTAAATACTTTTAAGTGATGCACCACAACCCAGCCTCTTCTTTCAACATCAATTAAATGAAAATTGTTCGCCCTCAGGTGTCTCGAGAGCCTCCGCTGTGATTAGTCTGTACAAACTGCAGAACTGGGTTTCAATTCACACTTCATCCCTTTTTTATGGCAATAACCGAGGCAGCAGTATGCCCCTGACTCTCGGCAGCTCCAAGCTAAGCCCTGCAGATGAACCATAGGAAATTCACAGTGACCTTACTGAGAGGAGAGACGACACACTTCAGTCACAGCACTCGGCAAACAACCAGACCAGATCCCAGTGACATTCATCCCAGCTGCTAGCGGCACCCTTTAATTCATCTGGTATTTAGCCTGAGTGAAGTTCTCCCCGCAGCGCTATATCATGTTTGTTGGTGTTAGAGGAACCCAACTTGTGTTCAACCCTCCACAGATCAGAAACTTAACACAGATGTGCGCCAGGCGGGGTGAAACAAACAGAAAAAAAAAACAGCGAACGAGCAATTTCATTGAGTTAAAAATCTATAGCTTCAACAGATCCGATGGAGACTAATCTTCACTGACATCTGTTTTATCTGTGAATACAAACATGTATAAAGTATGAATAAAAATACACCGAAACGTTTCCTTTCTTCTCTTTTCGGCATGGAATAAACCTTTACTTGTTCCTGAATAATAATACTCATAATACAGTATATGCTTGCACATATTATACACGTAAGAACAACTAAGAAAAAAAGCTGCACAGTGTTTGCCTCTCTTTCTAAAGAGAAGAACACTGCCTCAGCTGATTTTTAAAAAAATCTTTAAATCAAGTGTATGACACAGAAACTTTGACTTTGTGCCCTTCAGTTCGATAGGCACTGAAAAATACATACACTAAAAATCTCCCCCACTAAAAATCTGGTAAACTCCAGATCACCAAACTCAAGCCCAATGTTTAATCACTGAACATGTTCACTGTAAACATGAAAACAAGTGAAGAAAAAATGTAGTATTGTTTCTCCAAAACGTTAAAAGCAGTAAAGTTTTTTTTTTTTTAATGTGTCTGCATTATTAAATTTCCTAGGCAGAAATTAGGGCGCAGTATTTTGAAGCTGTAAGGAAGGGTTTCATTGTCACACATGTATTACATGTTATACAAGTTATACAAGACATTCCCCATCGGTTTTCAAGTACAAAATATGGATATTAGTTTTTTTTTCGGAAATATATTTATGAGAAACTTGAACCTCATTACATGTTCTTTGCAAGATTTCTGTAGATGTATCTATTCATTAGCTTCAAAAGGGTGTCATGTGTATGAATTATGCTAACAGGATCTAATTAGCAGATGCAAATGAGGTTAGTCAAAATTTTACTAAAAGGCAGAAGAAAGGCTCCATAGGATAGGTGGAGCATGACAGCTCACCAACCGCCCCCACGCTGGGCACCAAATGTGATGGTTTGCTCCTGCTGCTGCTCTTTGCAGGAGACAGGACCAAACCATAAACACAGACATGGGGGGTACCAGGGGGAGGAGGTCAGTTAAACCATTGACCTTCTGGTGTCAGGACTTAAGAAAATCTCTGAAACTGTCCACCAGGCCCTGCTTTCCTTTCCTTTTACAACTGAGACTTTCTTTTGCCCGTACTGAATTCTTCTGCTCATTGGGTGCCAACAGTGATGCTACTGACTGGCGTTATTCCGGAATCAGGTGCAAAAGGACTCACCAATCACAGCCGCCTACTGATCCCTGCCATTATGACATCACCACCACAGGCTGTGGCAGAACTGGCAGAGTCAGAGACCGTGCCTTCTGGTCTCTGCAGGAAGTGGGCGAGAGAGGCTTGAGAAGAGGGGTCATCAGTGCCTCTTCCTGCTTGGCTCTACGGGGATCTCACAGTCAGAGTGGCTCTGCATCAGAAATGACCCTTTAGATGTGTCAAAAAGAAACAGGGGATGCTGCTCATTGGGCACGCCAGGCGTGCCAATGTCCCTCCAGGTTTTTCTGCCCACAGACCTGACCTACCTCATTAAGGGAACCCACAGACGTGCCAAAGATATTCTGTATAGCTTCTTTCCTGTGCCTGGTATTGTCTTGGTTTTTCTCTGGGCATTTCACTGAAAAGAATGATATTTGGGTATATATACAGAGGCACTAGATATGTTACAACTGCAATTGATTCCAGTATTAATTTGTTGTGTTTTTAACGCCTTTTATTCTATACAGAAGTACTGTAGCTCCTGTATCAGACCTGGATGTATTTTTTCAAGATCACTTCATTAAGGTAAGCTTATTATTGATGGGAATGGCATTATGGAATTATTCACGCAGGATAACTGACATTCAGGAAAGCAAAGGGATTGAATTTCTACAAAAACAAGAACTGCATCCAGTCAGTCTTTTGTGGGAAAAAAATAATTGTATGTGTTTTAAAGCAAAACACATAAACAGAGTTGGTCTCTTGGCTTTTGAATTTTTTTCATTTATAATGCTGCTAAAGTCTTTTATATGGTGGTTTTGTCTTTTGTGTCCGTCACAGGATTACATATAAGTGACACCAGAAGGCATACAAATCCCACCTGCACTTCCTGATGCATCAGATTCTGCTTCTTTATATGTTTTTATATGGTGACAAGAAATACAGTCCCAATTGTCTTGGAAATGAGCACATCCTACATTGTTTAATTTAAATTAGTTCCATGTAGAGGCCCAAAATGTGTGCCTGATGGTTCATATACTCTGACAGACATTTCATTGAGTAATTTCATTTATGTTTTCAAATACGTGCTAAAGTAAATATAAAGCAAAATGTGCTAAAGTAATGTGGCCAGACGGTTAAAAGCTCAGCTTTTTTTTTGGAGGATGCAGTACTGGTGTTTCTTCACAGATGGCAGTGATCACTGAGATTTGGTTAGAGTTCTGAAACCTTATTATTAACGACGTTGCACTTCTTAATTAATAGATCATTCTGCTTCGGCTAAGAACTCCTACACAGCCTAAAGGCTAAGGAGAGAATGTATACTAAAAATATATAAATTGGTAAAACCTTTTTAAGTGTCACTGCAACAATAATCAAGGTGCATCGCAAGCTGGGATGGCCCTCATGAGCAGTTCATCAGATCGCCCACTCAGCCCGAGGGCGCAGGTCTTCTGACACAGCCTTGCAGTCCACGGTCTCTAACTTTGTGTTTTGCAAAGTGTTGAGGGGGCCATGAGGTCAGGGTTACATCTAAGGAATGTCAGGTTTACTCAGGTTTACCATAAAAGGAACTTATTTACCATACCCCCGTACTACCCAAAGGAAATTTTGAAAAACTACAAGCTGCAACACTTAGTGCCTGATCAAAAAAAAAAAACATCAACGGTCTCCGAAAAAAGACTGCAAAGTCTGAGTCTTGAACTCCAAATTACACATTTTTAGCTGGGTATGATTTGCACTTAAGTGGAAAAGGTATATACTTCTTAGTTTGTTTTTCTTTTATTTAAAATGTTCATTTTGTGTTGATACATTTTTTTCCATATTTTCTGCATTAAGATAGAAGCTTACAAGATACATTAAGTGCCTAATCCTGCCCTGATATTTAAAAAATATATGATCAGTTAAGTTACTTCAGATATATGAATGTACATTAATGGTATAATGACTCACTATATCTTATTGTACTTGGTAGGGTGCAAAGACTGTGAATCCTGAACCTTGAACTTCAAAAACCTTCTAAAATGTGTCTGATTGATTTATCCAGCATTTCCTTCTAAGCTGTGAGGAAATTGGAGCACCTGGTAAAAGCTCTCCTGAACCACTGACGAACATGCAGACTCCATGCAGGTGAGCTCCTAGTTCAGAATCAAGCCCAGGACCCAACACACGTGAGGCAGCAGGCACAGGACTAACTGACAAAACACCGCTGCAGCCCTCACAAGATTCATTAGGTGACTAATCCTTTCCTCAACATGAATCATCGTCCACATCAAATATTAGCAGGTGGGCAAATTACCGATGAGATATACAAGAATGCTAACTAAATAGATCTTTGGATGTCAGTGTAGTCGTTTAGGTGTTAACAACTAGTTACTGGAAGAAATAAAGTGCAGTTACTTGGGCAGATAATCAGGGATCTCTCAGGCAGAGATCTCATTCTTTGTTTCATTTCTGCTATAATGTCTTGCCTGAATGGAAGAGGATTGACGGGAGATGAAGGAAAGTTCTGGTCTGATATTTAGCTGCCAACAGGAATCAGGGACTCAGGAGGCCTGAACAAGAGTGTAAGATGAAAGGAATAAAGAGCTCAGGGCCCTTCGTGACCAGGAGTGGATATCAGTGTGTTACAGCACGATGTGGAAGAGGCCTGAGCTCACTGGCTGGGTTTATTGCGGTTGGTCTCTTGCTTTCCTTCCTAAGTAGTTGTTGCTCAGTAGTCTGCAGTGTTCGATTCTTGTTGCTGATAGCAGGACCCATGTCTGTTTGTAGGCTACCGAGTTTAGTTCATGGGGAATAGCAGCACAGAATCTGTGCTGAATATCCTGCCTTGTGACCGTAGCTTGCAGGGATGGGCTCTGGCTGCCCCATCGCCCCAGACTGGATAAAGGGCTTAGAAAACGGACGGATGGAAAACCAGTCATTAAGCGTCGAGCGTTTAGACATAATAAATCTGGATGAACCTGCTTCGCTGGGGACCAAACCCTAGCCATAGGCCGAGGAAGCTGGGAGTTTGCCTCCCGCTGAGCGAGGGCTCACCCAAGGGGGAGAAGCAGAGGTGGAGAAAGGGGGCGGAGGAGGGATTCAAAAGATGAGCGCCAAGGAGGACCGGCGGGAGAGCGTGACCAAGGGACAGGGTAACGGGAGGTGGCCAATCGCCACGCGCCTCAAACCGCTCCGGCACGTCTTTCGTTCTCCATGAGTGGGGCTGGAGTCTCTCTCGAGCTCGCATCCCCCAGCGCCTTTTCTGTTTTTTCCCCCGCCGCCGCTGTCTTAGTTCCCCCGGGGGATCCCAGGGGGGAATCTGGGGCAGGCCAACGTGTTTTCGCGGAGGCGGTCGACGCACTTCGTGTCCATCTGGTGTCACTGCTGAGCTGTGGACGCCTTTCGGATAGAGCGAAGCAGCTCTTGTGGATATGCGGGGTTTCTCCAGTTTCTGTTCTTCCCCGGCTCTTTCTTTTGCCTTTTGGACTACTTTCCCCACATAAACATGTTCACGTCTTAGTCCAGAGGTCACCATCTCCATTCCTGGGGCTTATATTTGTAGAGTCTTTCTGTCAGGTACTACATTGTTTTAACTGTTTCTATGAAATCAGTGTTTCTTTGAAGGCCCTGTACTTGGAATGAACTATTTTGAGGCCCCTGTAAACAGCATTTCAATGATCAGCTCTATATTCAAATAAACATTCCCCCGAAACCAAGAAGATATAATGGAGTTAATTAATTTAGTGGAGAACGGAACTCTAGTAAAGAAAACAGAAGGTGTGGTGGCCCTCCTGAAAGGACATTTGTCTGAGAGTAAGAGACCTATACATCTGGTGATTGGGACAATGGTACTTTAGAGCATCCTTTAATAAAAACTTTCTTGAGTCACACTTGATACCCTTCGACTAGAGGGTATAAATGGTGAGTCCAGCATTGTGAAGGGAGGTCCAAACCGAAGCCTGTCATTCAGTAAAAAAAAAACTTTGTTGATCCACCCAATTACGTAACTTACTAAGAAGTGCCGGTTGTATTTCAAGATTAGTGGCATGGAACAAACGATGATAAGCATCCCTAGTTCAGCTGCTTTTTGTACCATTTTCACTCTGGAAGTTCCCCTTCAATGTAAAGTGTGTGACACAAGAATACAGTGCTCCGAGACGAAAAGTATGGGCTGAGATCAGGCAGTGATGGGCTGAGGACCTGGAGGCAGGCTGCAAATTCTCGCCTGTCTTCTCACTTCACAATCTGCACATCAGTCAGCTGATATCACATTTTTGGTGTTGTTAGATTATAGAAGCAACCCTAATGTAATGGCAGCATTTTGGCATTTTCGGCTTTATCGGCGTAAACATGAGAAAACATGTTCTACAGTATCTGCAGCAGATACTGTAGTTTTCTGGTGTTCTACATGCCATAGTTAGAGCAGAGCTTTTGTGAAGGAAAAACTAATCCTGGAATTGATTTTGTCTCAAAATATACGTATATGTTGTGGAAACATTCTTTGACACCACAGACAAGTGATTCCCACAGATACGCGTTTTCTTAAAACCCCTTCACTAAAATTTCGAATTCACTGTAATTTAGGATTTTGCAACCTGTTCTGTCGTTTCTTGAATTCTTATCGTGCCGTAACAGCATCCGATGTAATTCTCAGAATTCTCTTTGTGATTCTTATTCCAGGTAGAAATACAATTTTACAACCTCTCAAAACAAAGCATTTCTGCCTATGTCTGATGAGGGTTGTTAGCAATCCAGAGTGTACAGCCTATGTACAGCCAGAGTGAAAGGACATTCTGGTACACCAGTCCATCACAGGGGCTCTCTCTCTCCAATACAGTTTTTTTTTTTTCTGGGAGGGAGAAGGGCCAATTAGAAACTGAACTGAACAGGGTGGTAAATGTCAAAGCCAAACAGCCACGAAATCAACAACATAAAAACAAGACACCTGCAGACCCCATGGCTATCTTGATCCCTGTCGTCTCCTTCCTTCGCAGTGCCAGTAAACCGTTCTGAAGAATTCAACTGGGCAGAGAAGTGAATTTGGGCAGCCACAGCTCAAAACGCATGTAAGCAGACTGAATTTGAAACTTAACTCCCCTCAGGAGTGGGTTAACTTTGCTTTCCTACTTGTTTTTCTCGTTTATCTGACTCTTCAGAGAGTAGGCACCCACCTAGAGGTGACACCTCCCACGTCTGTGGGCTGGTGGAAGACCACTCTGGTGACATCAGCCCTGGGATTCCCCATCTTTGCTACAAGACTGTCTTGCAAAGGAGATATTGTTGCACTTTTTGACTATGGAACTTACATCCTTTCTTTCAGGTTCATCACCAGAATGCTGCTATCCACCCCTTCTTCTCTTGTCCAAAGTGGCCTATGGCTGGAGAAAATGTCTGTTGATTAGTTTCATCAGCATAGGAATATTCAGAGAGTAATGACTGCAACTGTCATTAAAAATCAGCAACTGTGTCTAACCTATAGAAGGTGGCGTATATTTCTAATGATATTTTCTTCAACACATCTGTTAAAATATGTTAAATGTATGGCGCATTGTAAACGTATTCAAGTTAATAAATCCATTAATGACAGGGATAAGAGAATTAAGGAGCTTAAACAAATAAATGTGGCAGGAAGTTTCATTCTTCTAATTATATTTAGGTTATTCTAGTTTTATCTACTTCCGAAAGTTGTTTTCACTTCCAGACGACCGCAACCTGAATTACATTTGTCATTACAAGCCTCAATGACATACTTTAAGTCTCTGAAGACACTGCTTAGGAGAATCCAAGGAGTTTACTTTTTACATAAAGGTGGACTTCAAAAGAATGAGTAAATATCTCATATCCTGCGCTGACGTACATAATCTGCAGTTATGAGAACCTCATAGTCTTGAAATGACTGGGAGGATAGAATATGTAATGGAAGCTCAGAACTAACACAGAAAGATATTCTAAAGCACTCCTAAATAAGATCAGTCATGGATTTTAAATGGCTGCGGGATATGGCAAGCAAAATATACTAGCATTAAAACGATACTGTGTGGACAGGTTGTCAACTTCAGCTTTCCATCAAAACAGATTTGTGGGGGAAAAAAAAATCTGTACTCAACAGGTTTTGCTGCAGAGCTAAAAGTGTTAAAATGGGGGGAATTTAGTCCGAGATTAGTCCTGCTGTTGCGTGGTAATTGTATCCAAGAAAATCAGACAAACTTAAGGAGAATTGGAGAAGAGATATGAGAATTTGGAGGATAGAATGTGACCCATTTGGTTGCTTGCAGGTCTTGAATTTCTAGCATATTAGCACAGAAGGCAATACAAACACTTCTCTGAGGATCCAAGGGATGAGAAAGCTCAGCAATCACAATCTAAGCTTTAACCCTTCACAATACTTGCTTTTAAGAGGCTTCAACAGAGGACAAAATAAAATCTCATGTGATTCCAGGGAATATTATACTTGCTGTGGCACATTTCTTTATATGCTTACTTTTACTCGCTTACAAGGGCAAACAAATTTGCAGTATATATGTGTGTTAGTGTATCGCTACAGCAATTAAATTATGGATTTGGCAGTCATTGTATGGGGCATGTAATACATTTGGATCTCTAGAAAAAGCTATTATAATGTTTTTTATTATCTACAATATCTTCTGTAATAACAACAATTACAGACATTATCCGACATTATCCGAACCTTAAACCTGAATTATGTCCAATATCCATAGATACAAAGCATAACGCTTTGTATGTTTGAAAATTGTTGATTTCTGATTAATTTAAATTTAAGTGTAACTAGTCCTCTGGATTTTACTGTACTGTCCTGTAATGTTAGTCATTAAAAGACATTTTCACATTTGGCAAACTAGAAAAAGTTGCTCCGTAAAATTAAAAACTAAAACTTCATGTACCATTATTTAACCTCACTATATACCTGCAAACGCATTTTGCAATGACACTGAAAATATTGGGCACAGTTCCAAAACACTTTTTTTTTGTTAAGCAGGAAACTACAATTCAATAGAAATATTCAAATTCAACCTTCTTCATACTTGCTTGTCAAACAGATTATTTTTTTTGTGTTTTATGCTATTTAAAAAAAAAACAACTTAATTTTGCAAAAGCAGGTCCATATTTCTGTTGATTAACTGCAATGTCCAAGGGGAATTACACATACACAGTTCTCGATGTAACAATTTATTTTCTCTTTAGTCTGAGCATGAGGTTTCTTCATTTTAATCAGTCATCTACACCCAAAAGAGACAGCACTTCCATCTGACTACAGATAACAGATCCAAGCCATGCTCAGAGAATAGAACTACAGATTGTTGTAAATAATTAATATGTAAATAGAGAGATTGTGCCTAATCAGTTGCACAATATTGAGAGGTATTATGGGCTAAAGACATGCCACAGGTCTGTGTTTATTAGACAATGCATTGTTTAGGTAAACAAATCAACAAAACTTGTTAATGGCTAAAAAGCAGGGAGTACGAATGAACAGAGAATGCTCAAATTGGGGTGATGCCGTTGTGGAGTATCACAGGGCACTGACTACAACTGCTCTTCCTAATTTATTTCAATGACTCTGAACCTGTGAAATGTGCAGACTATACCAATACAGAAGGACAAGTGACCACTACGGACGGTGCAAAAGAAAATCGGGAAAAATGAAATTACATTGACCCACAAATGGAAACATATCTGTCAGCCAGCAGCTAAAGTGAAGCGAAGGAAGGTTCTTGACAATGTGTATTCCCAGCAGAGCTATAACTTTACAATTAGCAATTACAAAACCATGATATCGGTTGAGAATTTCAATCCTCCAGTTTTTATATCTGTGCAGTGCCGAGCTGTCTTTGTTAAGTGTTATCCAAAAGATCCCCTTTTATCATTCAACTTCTTTTCCACACCTGATGGAGGCCCTGGGAACTGAATAATAAGCTCCTCTTGTCATCAGCGAGCTCAGTTCAGTAAAATGCTTGTCCCACCAAAACTGAAATCACACGTCTGATAATGTTCTGGGGAACAAAACTGGTTCAGCCATGGTGTGACAGAACGCAAGCCACACATACACCTCAAGCTTGATGTTTTGGTGATTCTCTTGCATTCTTGGAAACATAATATGGATCTACTGAAGGTCAAACTAATATCGTACAGTAGAACTGCATTATTAAAGCACCAGAGAGTTATGCCCAGTGAAGAAATCCAAACCCATCCAGAATTAATTGCAGAGTTACCAATGTTTAAGTCTTTTTAACAATTGACTCATTAAATAAATGAATAAATAATCAAAGATGTTAGCATCATATACTGTAGATAGCTGCTCTATACTTGGATGGACACCATTGACACAGTAATATGTAATATAATGCAGTATGTTACATATGACTGGGTTTGTTACACAGACACAGTATTTGTAACATAATACCAAGCATAAACTGGAGCACACACAGACACAGCAGATTCTCATTGTCTAGACATGAAGTCTGATGCAGGAAATTGGCATTCACATCACCAGAGGGGGGCCATTCCGACGTTACGGTTGCCTGTAACATAGGCTTTCAATTCTGTACTTTATTTTTTAAACAAACTTTATTCCTTTTTTTAAAGAGACATAAGATTGAAACTATTTTAATGGAATCCTTTGCTTCCATATATAAGTAAAAAAATAAACTTACCACTAATGCATTTTTTTAACAAAATAAAATACTGCCATGTATACATGCAGAATTATCTAGCAGTAGATTTGCTGGCAGGATAACACAGGCATCAAGAAATTAACCATTTATGTTTCCAACACAAATTTGAAATATACAACTGGTTCTTTATATCGCTTCCTTCATGCTGAGGCATTGCGGAGAGCGTTTACAAGATTCAAAATGGAACAAAACGATTTAATTAACATTCCCACCTTATACCTGCCACGGGTTCAACACAGTCAGCCTTCATTAAAGGATTTTATTCGAGGAGAGCAAGAACTGTTCGCAAAGTGTTAAAATTTTAAATTCACACTTCTGACTCACCGATTTAACCACATTGTGGAAGGAGCATAAAATTCTTTGGTGTAAATCTGTTTGTGTTCCCTGTCCAAAAAAAGGCATGCAATGCAGTCAGGATTTCCAATGTGATAAAAGCCCACCTTGTACAGCTTTAATAGTGCTTATGGGATATGTATTGGGGGAGTTCTGAGACAGTGCTTTGATCTCTGTGGTTATAATTGATGTGCAAGCCTGTCTGCTCCAGCAGAGAGAGACGTTTTATCTTAGTGCTTGACAAAGTGAGCTCACTACTTTGTGCACCTCTCTCGTTTCATTCTGAGGAATGCCTACATTCAATTGAGTTTACTCTCTTTTATAGGTCTTTTGTTTTTGACAATTGTTTTCACAAAACTATTTAAACAGCCCACCTGTCTCTTCTCTTTGTTATTTCTCCAAATGCGAAATGTGTTGCTTTGCTATTTTCTGTGCAGAGACAATTACGTCACCTGATGCCAGCGTAGGAGAATGAAATTATGAACATGTACTTTTTAAAAATGATGAATATTGTAGTTTACGTCAGAAATGAAGTTATACATGGCCTGGATTAAATTCTATGTTTACAAAATATGGATATGTACTTTTTAAGCCGGTCTATGGAATATAATAGCAATATGGGCCATCAAATATAAGAAACCATATATAACACTACAACAAGCAGAAGTGCTTTCTGGGAAATGCATTCAGTCCACAATTAAAGTAGAAGTTAGAAAAAGTGGAGTCTAAGTCACAGATATTCATTTTGAGGAATACATTCAATCATGGATAACACGTTCTTAATAGATTCTTCAGTTTGTGATACATTCATCATAAATGGTTTTGTTGTTGAAGCAATGTGAAGCATATTAGATAGAATTAGGAGAAATACAATCGATTCTTGCTACTTCAATCAACATAGCTGTCTCTTCAGGCTGTATGTTAAAAAATGGCAGCAATGACAGCGGTTGAGGTTAAATATGATTTTCATGGACATTAAAAGTCAAGAGTACTACCTCTAATCATGCTTACGTGCATCAAAGTATATGTTGTTTGTCACTGAAAATAGATAGATACTTTATTGATCCCGTGAGGGAAATTGCAGTGCAACAGCAGCTTTACACAGACAACACAGCCACAGTGTAACGAATGATACAATAATAATAATAGTACAATACATACAATACAATCAGTACAGTGAGGGGTGCACTAAGAAGAGTTACTCACAGTCCAGACACACAAAGAACAAACCAGAACAGAACAGTACACAAAAAATGAACCTCGTTTTAATGTTAGAAACAGATCCTGTCAAACCTTCTAAAAATAATGTGTTTTAAATGTAAACGCGAGAGAGCCAAGTCATCATTCACTATGTAAATATTTCAAAAGTCACTCAGGAAGGAATGGCAGACTGCATTTTGCCAGTTGAAACTCATTAGTTCTCACAATGGTCTGTACTTAAGGTGCAGGTGATGCAGTTAACACTTCATCTCCCTGAGATCTGTTAATGTAGTCATATTATAATGAGGTGTCAAAGAGGGTGGTCTCCACGAAAAAAGCTCTTTCTCAGTCACAGAAGGAAAACCTCCACAACACAATGGGAGAAAGACAACATCAGAACGATTGCCATAGCCTGAGATGTGCATTTTGCATTACAATGAACTTTGTTGCCAATGACAAATTGTTCAGGAACGACCAACTAACATGTATTCCACCTTTCAAGTGATTATACAGTGGAAACATTAGTTTAGTGCTGCGATTATATCTACGGTATATATGAATTGTTCTTCATTCATACCTTAAACGTTTAAGGCAACATGGGTTAAACCGTTAAACTGATCTTTAACAGTGAAGGACTGAACCAAGAGAAACGTATTGTT